GGTGCGTGATCTTGAAGGCCAGCTAAAAGAGATTTTTGAAAAGGAGGAAATCATGTACAAACAACGATCTAGAGTTGGCTGGTTAAAAGAGGGTGACCAAAATACTCAGTATTTTCAAAACAGAGCTTCTCATAGGAAGCGAAAGAATACGGTCAGAGCCTTGAGAGGGGAAAACGGAGCAAGATGCACAGTCGATGAGGGTATGCGAGAAATGGCAGCAGGGTTCTATGAACAACTCTTTAAATCTGAAGGCATAGAAGCAACAGACCGCATCCTAGATCTTTTCCATGGGGTAGTCTCGCCATCAATGAATGAGAAGCTCACGGCGCCGGTCACTGATATTGAAATTGAGACTGCTCTATTTCAGATGGGGCCGACAAAGGCGCCGGGGCCGGACGGGCTACCGGCGATGTTCTATCAGCGGCACTGGCCATTGGTACAGGAGGATGTCTGCAAAGCGGTTCGTGATTTTCTTGCAGGTTCAGCAACACCGGATAGCTTCAATGACACAATAATTGTGATGATCCCGAAAGTTAACTCACCGGAGCTACTGTCACAATTTCGCCATATAAGCCTTTGTAATGTCCTATATAAAATAGCGTCCAAAGTGTTAGCAAATAGATTGAAGCTAATCCTTCCGGTACTTATCTCTGAGGAGCAAAGTGCATTTGTACCGGGACGATTAATCACTGACAATGTGCTCGTGGCATATGAGTGTGTGCATGCAATTAGGAGACAGAAAAGGAAGAAGCCGCTATCTGCAGTAAAACTTGATATGATGAAAGCCTATGATAGGGTCGAGTGGGTGTTTCTAGAGAAGACTTTGGAGCGTTTTGGCTTTGCACAAGAATGGATCAGCATGGTAATGAGATGTGTTAGGAGTGATCGGTTCTGTGTCAAGCTGAATGGGGGTTTTTCGCGCAGTTTCTTGCCGTCGAGAGGGCTTCGGCAGGGCGATCCACTTTCCCCATACCTGTTCCTGTTTTGTGTTGAAGGTTTTTCAGCGTTGCTTCAGCAGGCTCAAAGAGATAATCTGATAAATGGGGTAAGCTTTGGGAGCACTAGCCCCCATATTACTCATCTTTTATTTGTTGATGACAGTGTGGTATTCTTGGAAGGAACACAAGGTAATCTCCAGGCACTGAAGGATATTCTGCAAGCATACCAAGTGGCGTCTGGACAGAAGGTAAATTTACAAAAATCAGCTATCTTTTTTGGGAAAGGATGTAACGAGGGGGATAAGGGCGCTCTGAAACAAACCATTGGCATTGACTCTGAAGCACTAAGTGAGAGATATCTGGGGCTTCCAACTGTGGTAGGAAGATCAAAAGATGGTTCCTTCCAATATGTCAGAGAAAGATCAAAGGGTAAAGTGTCGGGATGGAAGGGGCCAGGTTTGTCTAAGAAGGCAAGAGAAGTACTTATAAAATCAGGGTTACAATCAACACCAACTTTCACAATGAGTTGTTTTCAACTCACAAAGAAAATGTGCGGGAACTTGACTTCTATCTCTTCAAAATTCTGGTGGGGAGCGGCTGATGGTGAAAGGAAGGTGCACTGGATAGCCTGGGATAAAATGTGCTTGCCAAAGAGAGATGGCGGGATGGGGTTCAGAAATTTTGAAGCTTTTAATCAGGCTCTGCTGGCAAAGCAAGCGTGGCGACTCCTTCAATATCCATCCTCTTTGTGTGCGCGTGTGCTCAAGGCTAGATACTTCAAGGAGTGCACAATCATGAACGCCACATGTCCCGATGGTGCGTCGTACACGTTCAGGAGCATTATACATGGGAGGGAACTACTAAGAGAGGGAGTTGTTTGGCGTGTAGGTGATGGTTCAAACATTAACATACACCACGATAATTGGATTCCGAGGAAGGGAGTTTGAAACCTCTTGGGCAGCATTTTGTCCATGGAATCACATATGTCAGCGACCTACTTAGTCCCGATGGTGCTGCTTGGGACCATGCCAAGGTGGATGCTATGTTCTCAGCTGATGATGCACACGATATCAAGCAGATCGCTATTGGAGGCATGGGAACCAGTGACTATTTGGCGTGGAATTACACTAAGTCGGGGCAGTTCAGCGTCCGATCAGCATATCACCTATGTATGTCGCTAAAAAGGACCAAAACCGGACGGCCGGAGTCCTCGACATCGGTGGATAGACACAAAAGTTGGCTTGCGCTTTGGAACACCAACGCTCCTGGGAAGGCAAAGATTCACATGTGGCGCCTTATAAAAAATGGATTGGCCGTTGGTGCCGAGTTACACATGAGGAAAATCAAACCAGGGATCTTTTGCACGGTTTGCGGCAGAGAAGAAATAGTCCTGCATCGCTTCTGGGCGTGTCCGCATTCAGCCATGTTCTGGAAGGTGTTAAGTTCGGAGAAAGGGGTTCCGGTGGCGATCCCGCCGGTGTCTGATGGACCCCATGTAGAACTTGCCTCATGGCTGCTGGGATGGTTTGCTGATGCCGGCGACCAGGAGCGGGAGTTAATGGTTCAGGCTGCGTATGGTCTTTGGCTCGCAAGGAACGAAGCGAGGGATGGAAAAAAGATTGCGGATCCCAGGGTGGTTGCAGAGAATGTTCATCAGCATATGATAGAATGGACCGCCATTCATGCAAAGCAACCAAGGTGCTCCTCTGCAGCACCGGCTGTAAGATGGAGTCCGCCGGAGCAAGGGTGGCTCAAGGCAAACTTAGACAGAGCTTTGTCTAAGCTGCGGGATCGTGGAGGTGGAGGAGTGGTCCTTCGAGACCATGTTGGAGCGTTTAGAGGGGGCGCCTGCTACGTATTCCGGGATGTGTCTGATCCCGAGATGGCCGAGATACTTGCTTGCCGCAAGGCGTTGCAGCTGGCGATCCATGCTGGAGCTACCAGGGTGCACGTTGAAGTCGACAGCAAGGGAGTGGCGGCCATATTGAATGACCAAGCAAAAAACTTAAGTGTGGCTGGCCCGATCGTTGAAGAAATCAAGATGCTGGAAAGGACTCTTGAAGGTTTTAAAGCTTCCTGGGTTAAAAGGTAAGGGAACCAAGGGTGTGTTTGCTTTCTGTTATGGGATGGAACGTAATAAGTCGGACCCATCCAAAAAAACCATTCTCGCGTTTGGCTCGTCGTAGGAACCGGAACCCACCAGTTCCAGGAACGGCATATTCGCCCATTATCCCGAACCGGGCCGTTCCTCGAAAACGAGCGGACCACGCGGAACGCCTCTCTGCCCCGACATCCTCTCCCTCGTCTCTCTCCGCCTCGGTGCACCGCCAGCCGCCACCCCTCGTCTCTCTCCCCGTCTGATCTGCGACGCCGTCGGCCACTCTCGCGTCTCGCCCTCTCCGGCGCCGCCACTCCCTCCCCAATCTTGCGCGCGCCGCCACTAGCAGCCCACCGCACGCGGCGTGAATCGCCACCGCCGCATCCTCGTGTTGGTGCTTCTTGCCGTCGCGCTCGCGGCCCTCTCACTCGTTTTCTTCAGCCGAGCAGGGAGACCAGGCAGCCCTCTCAGTCGTCTTCTTCAGCCGGTCGAGCGCACCTGAAGTGCCCATCTTCGGTCGCCGCGGGCTCGCGCACGTCGTTCTTCTGGTTCTGGTTTCCCTCATCTCTCTTGGTGCGGCAGCGGCGTGCGGGGCCGGTGGCCGGCTGGGCAGCGACAGGCGGCATACATGATACATGCACTAGGCAACGACTCAGCTGCGCAGCAAACAACAGTAGGCAGCAGCGACTAACAACAGTTCCAGTATTATTACAATGCAACCTCTGATTATCACTCGTCACATTCGCCGTCCATTGATTTTTCCAATCCTGTGATGTTGGCAGAACCATGAGTTGTGGCTACCTGAACTCTTGATTTGTTCTGCACCGCAACGTCTAATGCACCGTTCTCTGAATCAGTTTAATGAGATGAACAATTCTATTCCATTTCATATCTCAAACCAAACACCAAAACGTAATCGTTCCATTCCTCACAATTGCTCCTACCAAACATAAAGACGGAACCAACCCGTTCTGGTGGAATGGAACCATTACATTCCGTTCCACTTCGTTCTCGAACCAAACACATCCCAAGGAGCTCACTTGTTAGTTAGAGAAGGAGTTAGTAAGGAACTATGTAGTTTTTGGCCGAGCAATCCGCCTGACTGTATTCTGCATGTATTATCCGATGAAATCCCAGGTGTAGGATGATTAATAAAGGTTGATGATGATTCTAAAAAAAAAGAGTAGCACGGGGTGTTCCCACTTGTTACTCGTGGTCACAGGCTTCAATGCGCTTCATCAATTGTATACTCCTCCAAAAAAACCAAGGAAATAAAAGTTGTATTTTTTGTACTACTGTACTCCAACTCAAAGAGAAAAGAGAAAAGTTTATACCAAAATAAAATTTCAAGACACGATTCATTTTTTTTCTGAAGCTTCTACACACGATTTCGAGTTCCGTACGCGGGCCGCGCCTCGTCATCGCGAAGGCGAAAGCAGCCACGAGTTCAAACTCACAAGCCCGGGCGTTCCTCCAACGGTCCGGGTCCCGACACGCACCTCCGGCCAAGGCTGACGCTCTGGCCCACACGGCAGCGTCCCCGGCCCGTCGTCCCTCGCCCGAGCCTTCCTTCTTTCGCGAAGCCCCAGACACGGCCGCTGCAGAAAGCGTCCGCGTGACGGCGTCCGCCGCGAATGCCGCGCCTCTTTGTCGCTCCGCAGCGAGGGACCACGCGCCAGCGTCCGAGACGGCCACGAGTGGGCCCGACATCGCGGGCCCCGTTTCACCCCGGCCCGTTTTCCCGGCTCCGGGCTCATCCCCCATTTCAAAATTTGAACCGCCCCGAACGGCTCTCCCTGCCCCGCGCTGCACAGCCTCGTAAACCGTTACCGAATTAAGCGCACGTCGCCCAACAAGTCAAATCCTCCCGTTTGGCCGTTCCCCATTCACGGACTAGCGCCCGCTCTTCTCACTTCCAGAGATAACGCGAGAGACCATTGCCTCTGCGGAGCGTGGATCGATCGATGGGCGCGTCGGGGAAGTGGATCAAGACGCTGGTCGGGCTCAAGACGGCGGCGGCGGAGAAGGAGAGGCACGCCGGGGGGAAGGGCCGGAAGTGGAGCCGCCTCTGGCGGAGCTCGTCGGGCGGGCAGAGGGGCGCCGCGTCGGCGGCCGCCTCGGAGGTCTCCGAGACGTCCTCCGCCGCCGCCGACGCGCTCAGCTCCGTCGTCGCGGCCGTGGTGCGCGCGCCGCCCAGGGACTTCCGCGTCATCAGGCAGGAGTGGGCGGCCGTCCGCATCCAGACCGCCTTCCGCGGCTTCCTGGTAGGTCGCTCGCGTCGCGCCCTCGATCCGATTCCGGCGGCAAAGTTTCAGCTTCTTCAGCGTCGCGTTTCCCTTGGGTGCTCGTGCAGGCCAGGAGGGCGCTGAGGGCGCTGCGGGGCATCGTGCGGCTGCAGGCGCTGGTGCGCGGCCGCCGCGTGCGCAAGCAGCTGGCCGTCACGGTCAAGTGCATGCAGGCGCTCGTCAGGGTGCAGGCGCGGGCGAGGGACCGGCGCACGCGGCTGTCGGCTGACGGCCGAGACTCGCAGGATACGCTCGACGACCACAGCAGCCACGCGGATCCCGTCAAGGAAGCAGAGGTATATACTTTGGTTCAAGGATTAATTATGTTGTACTCCGTAGTATGATATTTATATATGCACTGTGCTTGGTCTGCTTGTGCAAATAGATAACCATACTGTCAGAAAGTAAAATTAGGTATTGTATACTTAATCAGTTGATGTGATGTGCTACTTTCTGTTCTTCTGAAACGAATGTGATGTGTTACTTTCACTAGACAGAGACTTGCTGCGGTTGCGGTAGGATTGCCCTCTTCATGATGAAAGATTGATATGACCATATGGACATTTATCTCCCTTTATTTTAAGCAATGATTTGAGATAATGTTTTCTATTGACCATGATCGTCCGAGTGAGTCATTATAGTGCGCACTGGGCAGTGGCATTGTTTGGTGTGCCTTCCTTGGGAGATGCTACCAATAATGCATCTTTGAAAGTTGTTCTTGCCATGTCAGGCTTGCCGACTTGTGTTGTTTCAGTGTATTACCTACTAGCACAATTAGCATATAGTCCTCCACAATCCTATTCTTAATAGTCATATGATGCTGCTGCAAATGATAAGAGAGTATTGGATGATCCTGCTGATGTTTCCATGTTTGGCTGGCATTGTTCACATTGCAGACAGGATGGTGTGATAGCCAAGGAACTGTCGATGATGTCAGATCAAAGATACACATGAGACGTGAGGGCGCAATCAAGAGAGAAAGGGCAATTGCGTATGCTCTTTCTCACCAGGTACATCCTGCTCAAATATTCTGGGCACATAAACAAGTTCTTCATCCTGTTTGACATTTTTTTTAGAAAAAAAAAAGTCCTTCATCCTGTTTGACATGATGTCGTGTTTCTTTTTGCAGCGGAACCCAAACCACAATGGAAGACCTAGCTCTCCTGCTGTTTCTCTTAAGAATCATGGGACTAACAGGAGCAATCAGTGGAGCTATTTGGACGGGTGGATGACAACAAAACCTTGGGAGAGTCGCCTTATGGAGCAATCACATAGCGAACAGACCAACTCACGTTGTTCAGAGAGTATCGACGAGATGAACGAAGTCAGCTCAAAACTTTCTGAAGCAAGCTCAGTCAAGATCAGAAGAAACAATGTCACAACTAGGGTGTCAGCAAAGCCTCCTTCCGTAATCGCGGTATGCGACGAGAGTGCTCCGTCAACATCTTCAGTCACTCAGATGACTGGCAACCATTTCGCGACATCAGAAAGGAGATCTGATTGTGGCCAGGGTGGTGCACCGAGCTATATGGGCTTGACCAAATCAGCCAAGGCAAGGCTGAGTGGTTCTTCTAGCACTCACAAGCCACCACTTCAAAGACAAGGCTCTGCTGACACACACAATTACAGCAGGGGGGCATTCTCTTCAATAGATGTTCAAAGCACCGCTGGCTCCGAGGTTTCTGTTACCTCAAAGAGGTTGAACGGTTTAACTCTGAAGGGTCGAGGCACTAGAAGAAGCATGGACAAGGAGAACGATGATCAATCTAATTCCTTCTTTTAGGACGTGAACCCTACTTATTAATTGTTCCCGTATTAGCGGTCTAGTGCTAACATGTACGTATTTTGTCAGTTCAATGCCTCATTGCTTATTCTGATATCCATATTTATGGTGTACAAATGTGAAACCAGCCAACGGTCGAACCTGTTCTGTCTGTTGCATTACAAAATCTCCGGGGTTTAACTGCAGTTAGGCTGGACGGTTAGTGGTTATTGCTAGTTCGGCTGAATTGCCAGAAATGAATTGATGGTAATTGAGTACTGAACAACAGAAGTAATCTGAGTGTATATTTATTTGGAGACTAATCATCTACTCCTTGCTTTGCTCTACTCACAAGATGTGGAGTGTATATCTCCTTACTGCAAACTGCAGCAATTTTGAATTGTATACATTGACTTCATAACCACTGAGATTTGTCTGAACCAAATCTCAATACTAGGCCCGACGTACTTGCTACCAATTCTTGATTGTAACTCTATTTATTTTATTTTGAAATTTGCTAGCATGCAAATGTGAACAACAAATATTGAGTTTCAACCTTGTTTATTTTGGTGGCTTTATAAAAAACAATTGACCTTCAAAAGAGAGCCATGAATGTTGAATTAGTAGTAGTATGTGCTTTAGAACCCCAAAAGGCAGCCAGTTTTGTGGCGTGCTGTAATACAGGAGGAAATCGGGAGAGGTGATTTGCAGTCTTATGAAGTTTGTGTATTACAGAGTACTCATATAGATTTCGAGGAACTGCTTAGTTAATTGAGTATAACCGGCCGAAAACGAAAGTACAAAATTGAAGACAAGAAAACTCTAGTTTTTTTAATAGTTTTCGGGATAGGGTTTAGACAAACACACACACACTAACATCAAGAAACTTTGTACACAAGAGCACCGAGGCCTAAAACTGCGAGACACAACTCGTGTGCAACCAAGACGACTGTTTGAAAAAATTCCATCCTCTATGAGACTCGCCACCACCTCTCCATGCAAGAATCGTGAACTAGCATTATCAAGTAAAGCGGAACCCAGGACATCGGATGAACTCATCTTAGCCAAGTCCATCTCCTTTCCGTCGATGACCACAAAGCACGGATCACCACGACCGTTTGCGAGAAAAGCGGCTTATAAACTTTCATCTTTTTCTCCGCGACCTCATCCTTGTCCGTCTCTTCCAACTCTCCAAAGGCCTCCATCAACCTAAACTCCGCATGGTTGGCCATTGGGATATTGCACATAGACCTCATCCTTGCTCGCCTCTTTCAACCTAAATTCCCCATGGTATCAAATAGGGACTTTTTACGGTACATTATACTACTCAACATACCAGGTAGTATTAAGTTAATCCAATGGTTAGTATGAGGCGGTCAGATTTTGGCTTAAGGACATATTAGTAAAATTATGTTTCCTCTAATTAATTATTAGACAAATCGCAGACGATAGACGCCGCTGCAGCCCTCCGTCCCCAATGACGGCCAGGTCCCGCCCCATGTTCTTGGCCATCCCAAAGCTTGCCTACAGGCTGGAGCTCGCAGGAGCTCTGCCATCCCGACACCGCCTGCACTCCTCCCAGCGCACCGTCAACTCAAGTACTCAACGCTGCCAAAAATTGCAGCCTACCTTGCCTGCATGCTGCTGACGGCGGCACGAACTAGCTAGCAATTGTAGCATGTAGCCACCTAATTAGCTAGCTGGTGGAGTACTTGCCATGATATGGCCTCGTATTCTAGTATCTGCAAGTTCATTTATGGGACCGACTGGACAAGGCTGGGGTCATGCGGCCGGAGCGACGGCGTCGTCTCCATGTCAGCGACTCTGCTCCAGATTCCAGAGGTTCGATGGGAACACCATAGACCCGGTAATCTAGCCACGGACCAGGACGGGGGCATGTGGCCGGGGCGACGCCCTCGCCTTCGTCGTCTCCGTCGGCGACCCACTCCAAATTCTGTAGGCTCGAGGGTAACACGAAAGGCATGGCGATCTCGCCGCCGCCGATAGCTAGCTAGGCCAGTACGGGGACGCTGGCACGTGGCGGACTCGACGGGGGCAACGAGCGATGATGGTGCCGGCTGGCAATGGCGACGGCAAATGAACAACTGCGGGATGGAGAATTACTACGTGATATTTCAGGTCTGCCCTCCACTTGTTTTTGAGGGGAAGGTGCCTGCGAGATGGATAAATGTAAACTACCCAAAACACCCTTGTTTAGTTAATATACTACCGAAAATCTAGAGTAGTATTGTAACATCTGGACCGTCGAACGATAGAAATGAACGGTCTACATTGAGCTGATGTACCGTAAAAGGTCTCATCAAATACTACCTCAGTTCCAAATTATTTGTGTTAGATTTGTCTACATATGTATGTACTACTTCCTTTTTGATTTATAGGGCTTATCTCAAAATGTTGGTTTTTACGTTTTATAAGTCTTATTTTTATTGCTTCCCATCATATGTTTAGATTTCAAGATGTATTAACTCGTTTCATACAATGATTAAAAGAAAACTCATCAATGCATGCAAATGTTTTTGGTCATTCGTTGGCTACCCATGCATGCATTGGTAAACAAAAAAAAATCAAAAAATGAGCACATTAATTGAGTACTTTTGCAATAGCAACAACAATAACAACAAAGCCTTTAGACTGCTCACAGTGGCGAGTAACATAGAGTAGTAACTTGCCGATGTTACTAGTCTACGTTACTACCTCCATAGTGGATAGTAACATATGAATGGTATTATGAAAAAGTTCATTTATTATGCTATAGACTCATTATGCCTTGAAATGTGTGATGTTACAGTAACTAGCTAAGTTGCCACAAACCCCTCTCTCCTCATTAATTAGCTGCCACATAAGCAATCTTATATTGAAATGTGTGATGTTACTAGTTATGTTACTTCCATTGTGACTAGTCTTAGTCCTAAACAAGTGGAGGTAGGCTAAAGGTGAAACTTATAAAGTCTCGCGACCAACTCATGGTTCTGGCACATGGATAACAAGCTTCCACACACCCATGTCCATGGCTAGTTCTTTGATGGTACTCCAATCCTTTAGATCTCTTTACGGACTCCTCCTATGTCAAGTTCGGTCTACCCCGACCTCTCTTGATACGCTTTAGCCGTGCGCTATACACTTGGGCTTCTGGAGGCCTGTGCTGAATATGCCCAAACCATATTAGACGATGTTGGGTAAGCTTCTCTTCAATCGGTGCTAACCTAGCTCTATCTCGAATATCATCATTCTGGACTCGGTCCTTCCTCATGTGGCTAGACATCCATCTCAACATGCGCATCTCCGCCACACCTAACTATTGAACATGTCACCTTTTAGTTGGCCAACACTCAACGCCATATAACGTTGCGCCTCGAACTGCTATCCTGTAGAACTTACCTTTTAGCTTTCGTGACACTCTCTTGTCACGGAGAATGCCAGAAGCTTGGAGCCACTTAATCCATCCAGATTTAATTCGATGGTTCACATCTTCATCAATACCCCCATCCTTCTGCAGCATTGACCTCAAATATCGAAAGGTGTCCTTCTGAGGCACCACCTGCCCATCAAGGCTAACCTCCTCCTCCTGGTGCCTAGTAGTATTGAAACCACACCTCCTCCTCCCCTCCTTCCTCTAAAGGGCCCTCCTTAATGACCCTCTCCTTGAACGCATGAGCTAACCCCCTCCCTTGAGTTTCCACCACTTCATTCTAGTGATTTTGGCCCGCTTATCCCGCTGGACACGAATCCGAAAGCTGAAGTTAGCAACCACAAGCTTATGCAGAGGGACAACACTTTCTCCGGGTATCACCTTACAACCTAGGCACGCACGCCTATCTTCTCTTCTCGAGAGAATGAAATCAATCTGGCTAGAGTGTTGACCATTACTAAATGTCACTAGATGTGATTCTCTCTTTTTTAAAGAGGGTGTTAGCTACCATCATGTCGTAGGCTAGAGCAAAGCTTAAGACATCTATTTCCTTCTTGATTCCTGATGCCATAGCCAAAGCCCCCATGCACCCATTCAAAACCTATGTTAAATGTACCCACGTCTTCAAAATCTATGTTAGATGTACCCACGTGGCCACTGATTCTCCTTCTATGAAGAGCTTCTCGCCAATCGGTACTCTCATAACCATGTCCTCGAGGCCTTCCCAGAACTCCCACTTGGTGTTCTCATCGTGACCTATTTGCGGGGCATACGCGCTGATAACATTGAGAACTAAGTCCCCACGTACTAGTTTGATCAGGATAATCTGGTCCCCACGTCACTTGACGTCTATTGGTCCATACTTGAGGATCTTGTTGATAAGATGCATACGCAATTTCCGTTTGCAGCTGTCCCGTGTACCACAGCTTGAAGCCGATATCATCCACCTCTTTCACCTTTTGTTCCCTCCATTTGGTTTCTTGGACGCAAAGGATATCAGCACCTCTCCTCGTCGTTGCATCAACTAGCTCCTGAAGCTTCCCTGTCATTTACCCTATGTACCAGCTGTCGGTGTCAAATCCGGCATATCTTGTAGTAGGGATCCTAAGCTAGGCGTCTTGGAACGATGGTAACATGGACACAGGATTTTGCTTAGGTTCGGGCTCTCTCGAAGAGATAATACCCTATGTCCTGCTTTTGATTGTATTCATATGGGGGATAGTACAGAGTACATGTATCTACCTAAGCGGATCCTCCTAGGCTCGGCTAGCTTCCTTATCCTTCACATCCGTCGAGTCAAATGCGAAGATCCTTGCTCATTTTCCACTACATCTAGGCGCCAATGTAGCGCGCCACTAAGAATGCGGCGACCCGATGCTCGCTCACTTGCCACCATATCCAGACCAAATACCGCGCGCCACCGGGGAGGGGGATGACGGCCCGACCCTTGCCCATTTGACACCACACCCGTGTTCCGATGTGACGCGTCACTGAGAGGGTTATGCCCCAACAAAAATCTTTTGGATTTCATCTTCATAAGAGTGGATGAGTTTTGACGTTGGCTCGCCAAACCTATCACAACCCTTCTCCT